TCCAGTGTTCAGTCCATTTTAAACTCAAAAAATAATGAATAGACTGAGAAAGCAAATTGAAGAGATTGAAATAGTTTGTGACCGCTTTATATTGCTTCTCCTGACCTCAGCTGTACAAGTTCTCTGAAGCGACAGGGGAATTTTTCTTCCTCTGCATATCCCAGGTTAATTATGACTCCTCCAGAATCCTGATTAAAGAAAACCATTTTATGTATGATTGGATATTTGTACCCAAGATTAAAAATTCATATTCAGAAAGTGGCCAGTAATTATTTTGTCTTAAAGTACTTTTGCTGTCTGTAGCTTTTTTCAAAAATGTCATTTGTCATTAATTGTAATTTTAGCTGAAGCTGGTTCATAACATTTAATACAATGTCTAAAAGATTCATCTGAACAGTCTGACCCTCTTGTTTACAGAAATTACATTCCTGCATAAAGTTGTGAGAACGCACCAGACATGAGAAAACTCATCAAAACCAGACAAATTAGAAGGAGATACTAGCAAGACTGTTCATGAATCTAGATGTATATTTACAGGCATAAAATCCTTCACTTTTGCACAAAAAAATCTTTCCCCCCCCCCCCCCCCCTACATTTTGTACCATTGACTTGAAAAGACAAATACCTCAACAGATAAGTTTCTGAAATGGCCACTGTCCTAGTTGAGTAGGGCATGGATATCTTGGTAGTGGTCCAAATCATAGTGAAATATTAACCTTCTTCAGTCTACTCATCCTTCATTGCTCGTGCTCCATTTTGCCATCTCTTGTTAACACCCCGCAGCCATGGACCTTCTCTGGGCAGTGGCAGTAGCAACAGTCAATGAGGTTCAGGTACATATTTCCCTTCCCATTGCTAGGGCTTTGATAGCAATCAAACTTTCAGCATTACACTATTGTAATCTGAATGCAGACTTGGCATCATTGAAATATGTGGAAGATGAGGACAGTGTATTGGCTGTTTTGTTAAATATCAGCTTGGTTGTATCTGCTCTTGGTGGGGGAAAGTTCTCCTTTACTCCTCTGTTGAGGATATGGTGGTTTTCTTTAGCAGGAGGGAAGTATTTGCTTGGTGGGATTCCCACCTTTCCCTTTGCTTGTCCTTTGGCATATGCCCCTGGCACAAGATCATGGCTTTGTTTGTAATGCAGCACTGTAGATTGTCCTTTATGTCTGATCCAGAGGAGACTATTACAGGCATCATTAACAGAGCTTTACCCTTAAAGCAGCTTGTGTACTTGTGTCTGCAGAGATGCTCAGTGTGATTCCTGGCTGGCTGTCCAAAAGTTGATTTTTTTATACTACAGTTGGAGATGAGTCAGCATCAGTGAGATGTATACTGCTGCAAAGCTGCTGTGTTCAGTAATTCAGATGGTATCAGTGATTACTTTCCTGCTCTGATCAGTGCCTAAACTGTCAGTGATGCCTGTAAATAGCCACTTGAATTGGGCTTCAAGAATCCCGTGTGTGGGCTTTTCCCCACCACTCAGTGGCTTTCTCACCTCCAGTCAGTTTTGGAAGAGATGGGAACCTCTGGCTTATCCTTATTCACCTCAGTAAGGGTCAACTCACTTCAACCGCAGACTTCCAGTAGTTTTCTTTTACCAGATGCTTCATCCCTTGCAGCTTAGCTGACTGGAAAAGAGTTAATGCTCAGTATTGACTGTTTATTCCTGAAAATTAAAAGCAAATTACAAGCTTCTGCAGGAAACAATTTTTTCTTCATTTGACTGAGTGTAAAAAGTCAAAAAGGAATGCATCAATTTCTTTGTATTTTGAAGTAGACATCCAAAGGGTTAGGTCATCAGGCATTACTTGGATCACACCCTTTGACCTCAGAAATCCTCTTGTTCCTTAAAATCTCAATAACTTCTTCAGTACTTTCTTTACAAAGGCCAAGCAAAATCCATTGGAAAAGAGAAGAATAAATTCTGTTATAAAATCACACTCTTAAAAATATAAAAACGAAAGATGGTTCTGAAAAATAAAAAAGTCACTATTCCCTGACTAAGTTTAAAGTAAAATATTTTAGCAATCCTGAATATAAACTGGAATCTACTTTTGAATTTGGAACCTAGTAAAAGCCTCTTCAAATTTGCTTGGTCAGTGGAGATTCAGGGATTTGTCTGAACATAGCAGATTGCAGCATTTTGGCTTTCTTTTGTATCACGATCTCAAAACATCAGTTTTGTTTCTGCACATTAAACAAATACACAGATGATTTTCTTTGCTGAATATTAGCATGGCATCAGATGGATGCAAGATTATTGTATTTGCTATTAAGATAACTTAAGATAGGAGAAAAAATAAAGTACTATAAGGAGACAGAGATCTGATCCCATGATAAGCAAAAACCATCTCATTCCTCATGGCTTTTTATTGTGGATGAGTCCTTGCAAACTATATGCTGCCTGACTTGGACTGTTTTATTATAGAAAATGGAAAGGATATGTTTTTTCTTACTTTTTTTTTTAACCCTAAAAGATGAAGCCAATAACTAAGAGTTACAGCAGAATGCCTTAGAAGTTCAGTTTTCTGTGGCCGTGTTTGATGTTTCCATTGTCATTGTATCAGAGTAGTTTGAGAGATGCAATTGTTCTCCTGACTTACTGGAGTCAATTGTTCAAAATAGCCTCAGACTACATGGGGGGAAAGTGTCAGTTATGCGTGTGTAGTCCTTGCCAGAAATACTTAGTGAAATCTGACTGCATGGCTAATTTTAGGGACACTTAATAATAGTGTGATTTTTTTTTTTTTTTAATGATGATGATTATTATTTTATTATTTTACTGATCTAGTAGGCATCCAGTGTCTGGCCAAAATAAATGAAGCCCCATTTGGATAACTCAAACAGAGAACCCAAATGAAACAACATAAGAGACTGATGACTACATTCTGAAATCTTAACAGTTATTTTGGCAGCAGTCTACAACTATAATGCAAAGCACTAATGTTTAGCGATGCATGTTGGAAATGTTCTGTACTACTGAAGGAGAGTAATTCCTGTTAAACACTTTGGTAATCTCCAAGTCTTTGGTGGAAACTGTTTTATAAATGTATAATTTTTCTAGCAGAATATTAAGTGAGGTTAAGTAGATACAATCTTCTGAGTACAAGTTCACAGCAAGTATCCAGTGTCTAGCAGTGGTCTTATAGTTCATCTTTATGTTTCTTTATGTTCAGTATAATTTATATGGCCTCCAGTGACTAAGGACTTCTCTCATTAATTTTTATGCTTTGCAGGGCATGTGTCATACCAAATTTCTAAAGTTTTTTGCCATCTCCATCTTCATCTATGCTAAACTAATATCTACTTTTGGACTCACACATCCTTTCACACACTTCCAGGTTCTGTAAGTTCCTGTCTTCCAGTATCACTCAGTTTTTTCAAACCTAAATAAGACGTGAGATTTTATTATAAATAAGTGAATTATCTAATAATTTAACCTGTTTGTTTAACTTCCCAAGTGACCAGGTCTTTGATAAGAACAGGTTTTTAATAGGCCTAGACAATCCTGTTACAGTCATTTCAATTGTGATCTAGTCCATATCTGAAAGTAGGCTAATATCCAAATTAACTGAGCCAGAATACCCACAGCTATTAATTTGTAAAATAGTGTCCTTCAGAAGTTATTCTGCTTGACCCACTTTCTAAATTGGATGGCACACCTGATGATTCATTACAGCTAAAGAAATTTTGGGATTTTCATTTGTTTGTTGCTATGTACTGCTGTGCCAGGCAGCACTGGGAAAGAAGAACAGTACTTTGTTGGGCTTGAGTCTCTCATTTACGTGTCTGAGCTACAGCCTGTTAGAAATACACATTCAATGTTGCCCTGTAGCAGTACAGTGATTGCAAAAAATGGCAGGATTGCAAAAATGGGGTAGCTGAAGGTTCTTGAATACTTATTTGACAGCATTTTACTGTTCTTGTTTCTTTTTCTTTCAAATTTAGTAGGCTTTAAAAAAAAATGTATTTATATGTTTCATTAGCCTTTCCCTTGTGATGGAAGTGGTTTGTGCATGCTGTGATGTGCAACACTTGAAAGATAGGAGGGATTTTTTCCTTCCATTAATCTAGTAGAGAAGGGCTATTCTAAGAAGATTCAGTCCAGCCTTGTTTGTCATTTATTCAACTTAGTGTTTGAATTAGGATGGCTGGGGACATGTAGGCCTGAAACCATTATATCTAATTAAAATACTTAACTGGGACACTTCATATGGGAGCCTACTCATGTCAGCCCCCTTACATAGTCAGCAGAACTCCAAAGGGCAGTTCAACCAACCTAAACTCTCCAGAGAAAACATATGACATCTATGCTCCTTAAAGTTAAGTGGGAAGAATTTTGGCCTTAACAGACAATAATGGGTGATGACCTACCCACAGGAGCATGGTGTTGCAGTCTTGCAAAGCAATGTTGTTGCACTGTATCTTCCATGAAGAAGAGCATTCTTCATGGTTTTATTTCAAGCCAAGACAACAGAAAAAGGCAGAGCACATTGCTGAGTGATGACTGACAAGAAATGCAGCAGCTTGGCACAGTGGAATTGAAGTGGGAAACACAGCATTTGTACCTGCAGTATTTGTGTGGGGATCTGTTCTTCTTCATCTTGCAGGGATAACTGCATTATCTTCAATGGATGCCACTTCACAGTGTAGGAGATGAATGCTATTCAACACTGCAGTGAGCATCTACTGCTAAGACTCTTGGATAACACAAGTTGTGTTCTAAACTGTGACTGCTGAGTGCAGCTGTGGTGTAATATGGAGAATAAGGCTGAGCTTGATTTTTTAAGCTTCTCAGATTAACTTTTTAAATGTTTGTGGCTTATTTTTATAATAAAGGCTTTTTAAAAAATCATCTTTAAAACTGCCAGTGACAGAATTAATATGAGCTGCCATGGATGACTAGGAAAGGTTATCTCAGACTGTAGTTCCCAAATAACTGATCTATGTCTTGACTCAAAAGCCCTTAAAGCTTTATTTCTGCATCTTTTCAGGTACCTCCTGCAGAAAGTTAAAGGAAGGATAGAACAAGAAAGCACCATGTCTTCAGTATCAGCTTATTACAATGGAAAGAGCATACTTATCACAGGAGCTACAGGTTTCATGGGCAAGGTACTGGTGGAAAAGCTTCTGCGCTGCAGCCCTGAAGTGAAAGCAGTCTATATACTTGTCAGGCCAAAGGCTGGACAATCAATGCAAGAGAGAGTGGCCAACATGTTGAAATGCAAGGTAAGTTCCTATATTTTATTCTAGAGTCTAATGTGAAATTCATTTAGCTGGATGAAGCAAAGGACTTCTGTTATAATCAATTCATGAGGAACAAAATACCATCTTCTACTGCAGCCACTGTATATTTTTGTTGTGTCTAAAACAAACAAAAAAAATGTGCATGAATGAACCTGGATCTGTCTGATTTTGATATGTGATGCAGCATTTCACACTGTAGTGAAGTAACTGGTTTTTCTTCCTTTTTGCATTGCTGTTTGTTGAGAATTATTTTTTCAAAAGCACATTACCTTAGCAAATTTCCTTTTTGCAAGAAGAGCGGCATTTTGCTTTCATGAACTCTTTTCCTTTCCCTACTTTCAAAACTTATTATTCAAACACAAGCATTCTGAAATAAAGCTTGAATGTGAGCCCATCACACCCTGCTCCTTGCCCCTTATTGGAGCAGTGAATTAAATGCATACAGCAACGCTTAGTGGCAATGTATAGTGGGCTGTGCATTGCTGCAGTACAGTAGGGCATCTGCCACCTTCTGATATCAGCGCTAGTTTAACCTTACTTATGATGTGATAAAATACTGCTGCATTTGAAAAGGGTGTTTTCCAAAGTTGCTTGCAGCAGAATACAAAGGCTAAGACAGGCCTGTGAGTTGAAGAACAGACTTGCATGACTTCCATCCACGTGCCTTGTTTTTGTTGAGTTTTTAGCTTGCCGTGCCAGTGACGAAATCCAGATCTGTAGTGTCAAGAAGGATGTCAAAGCTCTTTACTGCATTTAATGTAAAGATTTGTAAGGAGAAACTGCTAGACCGGTTATCTAGAGTGGACTTGGCCTGAGAACCTCAAAGGTCCTCAGGAGCTTAGGCCAGTGGTGAGGTCATGAACCCACTCAGGCCCCTCCAGCTGTGGTAAGTGCCAGAGTTCAAGCTAATGCTTCCTGCTAGTGTGAATTTGCACATAGCTGATGTGAAATGAGGGGAAGGGACAGATCTGGCCCTGGTAGGCAAAGAATTACTTGGAATTAATCTGAGACATGTCAACATATTTTTAGATTATTGGTCGAAAACTTTGAACAAGATTTGGCTGGAAAAGTACTCCTTCTCTTTCTACCGGACTTAGGGGTAAAGTGGGTCTATAGATAACTTACAGGCAAGTAGGTATGGGAGAGGGCATGCATTTTTCCTCCTAATGTTTTGAGGCATCAAGCTAGAAAAATTTTAACTGTGTTCAACAACAATGTTTGATTTTTTTTTTTGGTGTGTTTTCAACAGAGGGCATGTTATTTTCATGTTCAGAAAGAATTGTTGATGATATAAAAGGAAGCCATTGCATTGGTTGGTTTTTGAAAGTCTGTGAAGTGCACAATTTTTCATTACTTTTCCTTTCAATTAACATTTTTCAGCTGTTTTTACAGCATTCATCAGCCAAGACTGTGGGTAATGGTTTTCATCATCAGACAACAAAATCTCATATGTGATGTATTTGCATTTTTTTTTCACAACCCCTCCCTCCTCCCCCTTTTTTTTTTAAACCAATAAGAAAATTACAAACCTAGCTATTTTTCAGGTCTTCTGTAAGCTTTGTTTGCATTTTATGTATAAAAATTACTGGCTTATCCCTTCAGTTGGCCAGAACAGCTTAGTGGTGGTGTTAGTTCTAGGTGATGTTCCCTAGATGTCATTTTATTGTTGCAGCTGTACTAAATGTAGCCCTTTTTTTCCTAGCATGTGTCAGCAGTTTTAGACATGCCAACATCAAATAGGACCTGATAACCTCTCCTTGAACCTCTGACAGCCTGCTTCAATGTGTTTCAAATGAAGGAAAGAAGGAGGCAAGTCTGTAAGTTAGGAAAAAAACATAGGGGTATGCTTGCAACTCATTCAGGTCTCCTCAGGGAAGACGGTGCCCTTTTGATGCTGTTTGTTTTAAAATAAAGCAAAAATACTTTCCTAAGACATAACTCCAACTCTTCAAAGTTTATTTCTATGTGAAACTGTTGACAGCCTTTGTTTTGTTTCTAGAAGTGAAACTTCCAGTAACTGTTAATTTCATGGCAGATGAAGAGAGCAGGAAAGATTATTCTTAACATTTTTGCAGATTGTTTCCAGTTAAGTTTGTTGTATGCCTTTAAGCCACATAACCAGCCACTCACAATTGAGAGACTACACTTTTGTTTGCAGTTGTGGTCTGCATTCTTCAGTTTGGGAAATCCCAGAGCTATAAAACAAATAAAAATGCAGCAAAAACTTATTCCGAGTCTTCAGGCAACATTTGCATTTGACATTCCTGATCATAATCTCTGATGAATAATGCTTATATTTGAGTAAGCACAGGAAAATTCAGAATGAAGTCCCTTCTCTTCCTTATTTGTACATACATAATTTCTAATCTCTACTGTACCTTGACCCAGTATTATCATCTGGAATTCCTCATTTTCACATCCAGAAGGGAAGTTTCCCAGGAACCAGAGGAATATAGAAAAGCAGGTTGGCAACTTAAAATCAGTATTTGGGATGGCAGGTAAAAATACTATTTGGGATGAAATAAGGTGAAAGCAGAGAAGTAGTTTGACAGGAATTAGTTGCACTGCATAATGCCTAGGTTCTTCAGATAAGGTTCTCTGTGGACTCCTGATTTTTGGTAGTACTTAATATTTTGAAAGAAATTGCCTATCATTTTTGACTTCTCTTCATATATCTCTGTGAAATTTTTGTGGTTTCTATCATTATATCTACAGCGGTTAAACTTTCAGGCGTCACATTGGTGAACTGACTTGTTCACAGTGTGTACACATGAATTTGAGGGAAGATGACTCCTGTTAAATAAAAAAAGCAGTTGTAAGTCACGAAAGGGTGAGGGGGTATGAAGGGTAAAAATGGCTTAGTTTGTGCTTTTAAAATGTTTCTTATGTAGAATTTTTCAAATTCTGAATCCAACATGAAATATAAAATATAAAAAATAATTTGGGCATAAATCAGAATTCTTCCACTGTATTCTGGAGTAGCTGAACAGAGGGCATTGAAATGTAATACAATGCTGGTTTTCCTCAGATCCTGTAAAATTAGTTTTACATGAAGATGCATTATTACGTTAATATGAAACATAGAATAAACAGATACTCAATTATCTCAGCATCAACTCCAAAATGAACATGTGCATTGAGGAATGTGTGGCACATGGTGACCTTGCCTATTTATGAAAGGAGATGTTCTATTTTCCAGCAGCAAGTCCCTAAGGGAAACAAGCTATTAACCCATGCTTAATGAAATGCCATGTCCACATGACACAGAGTGCAGCTCTTACACAAAAAAACCCACATTTCAGTATTGGCTTTACCCTGGATGTGTCCATAGATGTGGATCACAAGGCCATTTACTCATTAGTTGACGGGAGGTGTATATTTCTCGGAGGTAGGGAATTATTTCAAGGAGTCCTTTTTATTGTCTGATCCCTCTGTGTGCAGAAATAGGCAGGAATGCGTGGAGGGGTTGTCTCAGATTCCCTGGGGAACAGTTCCTGGGCTAACGCTGAGTCACGGGTTGTAGCTGTCACGTTGTCCCTGGGAGAGCAGAGCTTTTTCCGTGCCCTGCGTGCAGTGAAGCCAGGCTGCCTGCTGCTGCCAGGCTGCTTCTCAGATCTATTTGCTCAGTGCTCCTAATTAGAAAGATCAGTCAAAGTGGGGAGTGGAAAAGACTCTTGTTAATGTCTCTGATAATTTGGAGAGAAAATGGGGAGGCTGTGAGGCTGCTGAAAATGGGGAGCAGATAGTGCTGGGTGTGACTGGAAATACTGTAAAATGCTACTGCTTTTTCATGTGGTCCAACCACAGTGAACCCTTATGGTTAACCCTTATAGTTACAGTGGCTGGTACAGATAGACCTTCTTCTCTGCCCTGCAAAGTTTTGTCTAGAACTACACATTATGATGGGACCGACCACCGAAAACAGCAGAAATCCAATGTTACCAGGCACCTTCATCTGCTGAGTATTTCCTTGTCAAGTATGCTATGCTTATCAGCAAATATACAGCAAGACCCACTGTTAGCCCTATAAATGTCACCAAATCATGCCAGATTTCTCTTTTTCCAACTCCTTTATCCCTTTCTCCACTCCCTTGCTTATGAGTCTTGCTCATCACAATAAGCAGTGAAGGCTCTCCACACCAGACCAGTGCAGCCTCACTCCCTCTGGAAGTGTCCCCTAAATCTACTGTGATCACTGCAATGGTGCATTGATCAGTACCTGGATCAGAGTAATGAGTTTTTCTGGTTGATGGAGTGGGATCCCACTTTCTTAGTAAGAGGTCTGGAAACTGCGAACTGGAGTGACACAGAGATGAAGATGTTTTCTGTTCTATTATCTATTTATATTTGCCTCACTTTTGTCAGTAGCTTATCAGAAATAACACTGGTATTTGTGTACCAAAGGAACAAATCTGTCATTTTAACAAAAACTTGTTTCTTACTTGACCCCATGATTTGTAAACCATGTGGTAGAGAGGAGCTAAATCTTATGGGTGGTAACATAATTGACACAAATGCAGGCAAGGGTCTTGACCTCTTCTGTTCCTCTTTCCTAAACTAGCACCATCTGTTGCCTTGTTCCATTTCATTTCTTTGTCTTCTCCAATTTGTGTTTCTGTTCGAAGAAGGCTGGTAGAGTTTTGCTTTATATGTTAGCAGCTAATAGCCTGCTTCCAACAGCACAAGGAAGGGCCAACAAGACAGCTGGTGCCTCCAGCAAGATAACCTTTTACACCGGACAAAACGCCGCCACCATTAGTCCTGAGCTCAAGGCTCACTCACATGCCCCTGGTGTCACTTTCTGCTGTTGGATGTTTGCAGCCATGCTGCTGCTGCTGCTCCGTGGCTAACAGGCTCTGCTGGAACAATGGCATCTGGAACAAGCAAAGTGCAATGGCATTCCCTTTTCTGGGTGCTGTGACAAAGCTGCAGCCTTGTATGGTGACAGGCCCTGCTCATTTGATAGACATCCAACCCGTGTC